GGGAAGCCGGCCGGCCCGACGTGTCCCCGGCACCTGTAAGTGTGGCTTGTGGGAAGAAGCTCTCAGATGGGGCTTGTCCTGGGCTCTCCGTGTGGCCAAATCCAGTCCCAGACGTCCCTTTGAGAGACAGGAGATGCCAAGGCTGTGAGTGGGCCAAGAGGAGGCAGAGGCTGGAGTACCGTACCCACCACAGGGAGGCCTGAGTCCCCGGGGTGGCAGGAGGCAGAGGGGCCCTCCCCAGAGCTGACAAGAGATGGCCGGTCTCGCCCTCTCCCCCACCCCCCGCCCGACTTCAGACTCTTTGGCTGTCCTAGAAACGTGAGGGTGGACACCTATGGTGACATGTGGCTGGAGCAAGTCTTGGCTGTGGGCCGCTGTGGCCTGGGGGCAGCCCTGCACGTCTCCTCATGTCACCTCGGCCGTCGCAGTCCAGGCTGGCCTCAGGCGGGGGGTCAGGGCCTGCGTGTCGCTCGCTCCGAATTCCGGGCTACACGTGAGCGTGTCTGAGTGAGCTGAGTGAGCTCCATGGAGAAGGCCCTGAGGCTCCCGCTCAGCCAGGACCCCCAAAGGGTGTGCTGAAATGGCTCCTGGGGGCCCTGGCCTCGCAGGCCCAAGAAGCACCAGGCAAGTCGTCCCCAACAGCCTGTGCACTGCCAGCCTCTGCGGGGCTCAGCGGGGCTCAGCCCTCAGGGGATGAGAGGAGGCCCAGAGGGGCTGCAGGAGCCTGCTGTCTCTGCAGTGCCTGGAGGCTCCCTAAGGCACCAGCTGCCCAGCTGTGTGACCAGCCCCAGGCGACGAGGCCATTTCTGGCTCGCTGTGAGATGCCCCACAGTGTCACAGGTGCCAGGTCCCTGCTCTGCCCTCACGGGAGGAGTGTGGCAGCGCTGAGGGCTACCTCCCCGGTGACCCCAGCAGAGCACTGTGTGACCCTCCAGCAGCAGGCGAGCTGGCTGGTGAATGGCCAGGCTGGTCCCACACCGTCCTGCCCTGGACGCCCGGGTCGCTGCGACTCTCGCACAGACCCTCAGCCTGTCTACACACCCCGTTTTGTTCCTGTTTCTATTTGTTTTATTTATCTATTTTTAAAAGCAGTTTCGCCTTAAGGTATGTGCACTCACTGAAGAGAGAGACACAGAGATAGTGAGAGGGAAAGCGAGAAATCACCCTTCAATCCCTTCTCCTCCAGTTTCCTTCCGGGATTTGGGGCACACATGCACGCCCGGCGTGACCAGGTCCAGATCTAAACTGCAGTGGCCTTGTGGAGCCTGGCGACAGAGCCGCTGTGCCGGCTGCTGGCCCCACCCCGTCCTGAAGCGGTGCACTTGGAGAGTTGGTGGTGCTTGGGTCACAGAGCGCCTACCCTAAGGGCGCCAGTGTGGGGCCGTCCAGGCCAGCCGGCTCAGAATGCAGAGGCCCAGGGAGGGGTGGGGTCTGCGGTCGGGTCCAGACATCCCTGACCCTCCCTTCCCGCGTGCTCACGGGGCCCCGATGGGCGGTGCGCTCAGGAGAGGCCGCACGTCCTACAGCTGGGAGGAGCTGCGGGTGGGTGTCCCAGGCTGCCGTCCTGCCAGCCCACCTGGCGCCTGGTCACACATGCCCTGCTGTCCTCGCAGATGTCCTGGACAGGGACACGTGGCTGCTGTTCCTCCCCTGCTTCCCCGTGAAGGCGCCGACGCCGGTGGTCCTGGCCCTGGCCGCGGGCGTGCCGCTGCTGGGGCTGCTGCTCGTGCACCTGCTGCTCTTCCACGTCTACCTGAGTACGTCCCCCGCGCGCCCAGGCAGGAGGCCCTTGGGGCCAGCGGGTCCCCAGAGCTGGGTCTGTGCTCCGCGGCCTGCAGAAACCCGGGCAGAGGTTTAGCAAGCTAGACGGTTCAGGGACAGAGGAGCAAGCCTGCTAGGCAGGAGAGCCGCGGACAGAGATTCCAGCAGTGAGAAGTGCCGAGCTCGCCAGGTGGCGGCCACCCTAGGGGAGACCACTACGGCCTGCAGCGGGCCCCGGCCGAGCACCTTCCAGTCCCAGGGCAGTGATGGCCCTGGGCAAGTGTCTCGGGAGTGGCTGCGGGGGGGGGGGCCCCCGTCCCCTGGCCAGAAGGGGAGGGAACCAGGTGAGGGGGGCCCCGACCTCCCCTCATTGTCTCCCAGAGCAGCCCCTGCCCGGCTGTGGTGAGGACCCCTGACGCAGACCGGCCCCTGCACCTGGAAGGGCCCTGCCATGACCAGTCACGGCCGCATTCGGACTGCGAGCGTGTTCTGGGCGCACTGACCGTGCTGCTGCGTGGCTGGTGCCTGGCCGAGGCCTGGCTTTTATGCCTGGTGACGGCACAGGGCGAGTGCTGCACTGTCAGAGCTCCGTCTTGGCGTCGCGAGGCTGGGCCATCTCTGGGTGCTGTGCGTTCGGCGTTCGGGCAGCCCTAGCCCTCACCCTAACGAGTGGGTCGAGGCCCTGTACTGCCTCACCACCAGCAGCAAGGCCGGGCGCTGGGCCTGCCTGTCCATGCGGCTCGGCCCACACAGGTGGGTCTGTCGTGCACACACGGGCAGCCTGGGCTGCCCTCCCCACCTGCCCCCTTCCCAATGGGCGTCAGGGCTGGAGGACCAGGCCTTGGCGCAAGCCCGCATGTGCAGCCCCTGGTCTCTAGCCGCAGCTCCAAAAGACAAAGCAGGCCCCTTTGTGCCAAGAGATGTGGACACTGCCCTGTGGTCACGGCGACCTCGAGGCTGACGTAGGGTCACACCATGCCAGGGCCTGCCTGCCTCTCCTGGGGCCAGAAGGGCCGTAGGCTGGCACTAACCTGGTGCATGCTCTGTGCAGCCGCGGCGAGCCGTCGGCATCTGTGGGATGGGCCTTGCCCAACAGCTGAGAGGACCCTGCAGGACTGGGCCCTCAGGGTGGAGCCCTCGCAGCTCCCAGGCACAGCCGGGCCTTTGTGGCTCAGAGTCCAGCAAGGCAGCGTGGCCATAGGGGCCTTATCGGGACTGGAGGCACAAATGAGCCCCTGTGGTGACAGTGAGGATGTGAGTGAGGCCCGGTCTGCCGGTCTTGCTCAGCATCAGCTGTTCTAAATGGCCCCTTGAGGACAGGCCCACCAAGGCTGGCCGAAGCCTGAGAGGACACAGGCCCGCAGGGCAGAAGCCCGGCCTGTACCCAGTGACACACGCACCAGCCCACAGGCACGGGGAGCGAAGTCGGCTCGGACCAGGTGCGTGTAGCCTGCAGGGGCCGGACTCCCCACACGGCGCTCCCCGTCCACCTCCCCTCCACGTGGCACCACTGCCAGCCACAGGCCTGGCCACGGCCAGAGGAGCTCAGAATCGGCTGAGGCTCCTGAAGCGCTGAGACACTGGGGTGGGCTGGCGTGGAGGGCTGGCGCGGGAGCAAGTGTGTGGCCGGGACTGCCGAACCCTGATACAGGTGCGAGGACTCAGGTCCGCACTGCCGTGGGCGTGAGGTGCAGGGGGCCTTCAGGCTTCCCCAGCAGCAGGCGTGTGCAGCACAGGGGAGCCGGGGAAGGAGCTCTGAGCGGGATAGCGTCAGCCCACTGAGACTACCCAGATGCTGCCCTGCCCTGTGGGGGAGCACCGTCTGGGTCTCGGGAGGCTCAGATGAGGGTCCCTGCCCAGGCCGTCAGCAGATGCAGCTCCTTGGAGAAGTGGCCCCAGGTCGTCCGGAGCTGCAGCCCAGAGCCAGCTCCAGCCCTCGCCCTGCAGGCTCTAAAGAGAAGCCGTGAGGGAAGGGTCTGTCCCCAGCCCTGCTGTGGGTCCTGCTGTGTTGTCCATCCCAGGACTGCCGGGGGCTCCGCTGACTGGAAGTAGGTCACCAAGCTGCCGCTCCCACGGGGACAGGAGCTGCTCAGAAGCCACCACATGTCGAAGCTGGGAGGCCTGTGGACACGGCCACCAGCTGCGGTGGCGGGAGGGAAGCTGTCGCACATGTGTGCGGGGATCACATGGACCAGCGGAGCTGAAACACAGTGGCCTAATTACCAGAGACACATGTGGGTGGCCACCCAGCACACGCCACCCCGCCCAGCTTTCTCCTGCGAGACTACAGGTCCAGGGCTGAAATGCTGTCCTCTCCTTTGTCCTGTCAGATTAAGACAGGACCTAGGCCAAGGGGCGGCCCCAGGAGGCACACAGGCCGACTCCCCGTCTGTCTGTCTGTCTGTCTGTCTGCACCGGTACTTGCTGGAACCAGTGCGAGTCCCCACGTGCAACTGCAGGCCAAGGGGCGGAGAGGCGAGCGCGGTGAGGGCAGACGCCTGGCCCTGTGCCTCTGCAGGCGGCACACCCTCCAACTGCTCTTGGCTGTGACGGTTCCATGGGCAGCCCCCGGTCCCAGAAATAATTCCCAGCCATCTGCTCTCATGTGGTCGGGGAGGGGCGGGGAGAGTTGGTCTTCCCGGCGTGCTGACGGCCAAGGGCTCACCGCCGCTCTCTGGCGACAGATGGGGTGCTGGGAGGCCAGTCCTGGAGGGCCTGCCCTGCGTCCATGGCTGGGTCCGTGGCTGGGTCCGTGGCAGTGTCCGTGGCTGTGTCCGTGCACAGTGACACAGCATGACACGGCACTTCCCTCCCTCCCCTACCCAGGGCTCATGAGGATGAGCACGTTCGACTACATGGTGCGGGGCCAGCAGGAGCGGACCATGAGAAGCCCGGCCGTGAGGATGGAGAGTGGGCTCCCGCAGGTACCCACCTGTCTATGGGGACACGCCTGGTGTCATCTCCCTCTGCCCACTGTTGGCGTGGCCTCGGATACTGCGTGTGTGAGTGTGTGCATGGTGTGACCTGTGTGTGGATGTGTGCCCTCCTGTGTCACTGCCACATCCATTTCCCTCTGCCTCACCTCTACATCTGCTCTGGGCTCGGCCTCCGGGGGTTCTGGCAGACTCTCTTCAGGTAGGTCTTGCTTCTGCCCTAGTTCCTGCAGCGTCCAGACTCCCTTTTCCCCATGATCCCTGTGGGGCTTCGTAGAGAGCCCCTTGTAACTTAGAAATGGAGGCTAGCCCCATGGTCTAGTGGTTACAGGAGCTGGGTCCCATATGGCCAGCTGCAGTTCGAATCCCAGACCAGTGAAAACACTCCCGGCGCGTGTGCCCTCCCCAAATCCAGACAGCATGGAGACGGGAGGAGAAGGGGTGCAGCAGGAGCATGCCCAACAGGGTGCTTCCCCCCCTCCTGCTCTGCTCTGACCAGTGCACAGGGTGCTTCCCCTCCTCCCGCTCTGCTCCTGACCGGTGCACAGGGTGCTTCCTCCCTCCCTCCCGCTCTGCTCCTGACCGGTGCACATACTCTCTGGCAATTAAAAAAGGAAAGAAATGGGAAGTGAGTCAAGATTGCCTTTATTTATTGATTAAAGAATTGTCCATTTTAGGGACCAGCAGTTGGCGTAATGGCTATGTCGCTGGACTCCCATGTAGCCAACCATGGTTTGAGTCCCAGACCCAGTGACTTAAACTCACGCCAGGCACGCATGCGTGCGTGCCCAAGATCCCGAGAGGAGAATGGAGGAGAAGGGATTGTGGCGTGCCATCCCCCCTGGGGGTGATCTCTATCTGTCCGTCTCTCTCTGTCTTTCTGGCAAGCATATGCGCCCTATAGCAAAAACCTCTCCAAAAAACAAAAGGAATTGTCCATTTTTATTTTTTATTATTATCACTATTTTTTAATCTAACCAGAGAGAGAGAGGGAAAGTGAGAAAGCGAGCCACTAGGTCTGGAACTTGAACAGTGGTCAGCCACGTGGGAGTCCAATGCCTTAACCACACCATGTGCTGGCCCCAAGAGCACCTTTCAGATGGTGATGTTGGAAGCCCGGAAAAGCTGGGGACACGTTTTGGAGAGTCTGGTAGTCCCAGCCTTGGACACTGAGGAGACCTTAGCTCCAAGTCACAGATGGCCTCGGGCCTTCCTTGCACTGGGCCTTGCTCCAACTGGCTGCCGGAGTCCAGGGGACCTGTGTGGTCCTGCCTGACTAGGGTGCTCCTCGCCCTCCCAAGCATCTTGGTTTGGATGGGGAATTACAGTCGCCCCAACTGACCTTAGCAGGGCCCTGGTCTGAGGCAGAGGATCCGGCCCACCTCACAGGGGACGCCCGTCCAGAATCTTCATGGCCTCCAGGGTGCTGCTCATCCCACCACCTATGCTCTGAAGACTAACGGCCACTTCGGCAGCAAGCTGTCCTTCCCGTGGACTGTGGGGTCTCCTCAGACAGCTTTGTTGGAGGAAGCACGGGCCTTTACTGGGACCTCGGTGAAGGGCAGCTGAGAGAGAGGAGTCGGTTTTAGGGATGGTGAGAGGTTCCCAATGGAGCCGGTCCCTGAATGCCACCTGCAGAGGGCGGAGAGGCCCTCCTGGAGAGTCAGGCCACAGCTCCGCCCAGGGAGGGCTACGGAGCACGCGGAGCTTCGGCGCGGGAACGCACACGTGGGCACGGGCACCCGGCAGCCCGGCAGGACCCCGTCCTCCTGACCTCAGCAGGATGGCTTCTGTCAGCACCTTCAGGTCTCAGGGAGGGCCGGGCCTGTCCAGTGAGTTCCCTCCTGAGCTGTCCAGCTAAGTGCAGAGCGAGATCCAGGAGGCTGCCCGGACAGTGGGCGTGACAGAGCAGGTCACGCATAACCCTGTGGCAGCCAGAGTCAGGCGTCCCTCTCCGTGCCTTGTCCTGCCACTGGGCCTGCCCTGTGGGGAATCCCTAAATGGGCATTAACGCAGCGGCCAGAAACACATTTTAGGGACCAGCAGTTGGCGTAATGGCTATGTCGCTGGACTCCCATGTAGCCAACCATGGTTTGAGTCCCAGACCCAGTGACTTAAACTCACGCCAGGCACGCATGCGTGCGTGCCCAAGATCCCGAGAGGAGAATGGAGGAGAAGGGATTGTGGCGTGCCATCCCCCCTGGGGGTGATCTCTATCTGTCCGTCTCTCTCTGTCTTTCTGGCAAGCATATGCGCCCTATAGCAAAAACCTCTCCAAAAAACAAAAGGAATTGTCCATTTTTATTTTTTATTATTATCACTATTTTTTAATCTAACCAGAGAGAGAGAGGGAAAGTGAGAAAGCGAGCCACTAGGTCTGGAACTTGAACAGTGGTCAGCCACGTGGGAGTCCAATGCCTTAACCACACCATGTGCTGGCCCCAAGAGCACCTTTCAGATGGTGATGTTGGAAGCCAAGGGGCTGCACTCCTCTGAAAATCTGGGGACACGTTTTGGAGAGTCTGGTAGTCCCAGCCTTGGACACTGAGGAGACCTTAGCTCCAAGTCACAGATGGCCTCGGGCCTTCCTTGCACTGGGCCTTGCTCCAACTGGCTGCCGGAGTCCAGGGGACCTGTGTGGTCCTGCCTGACTAGGGTGCTCCTCGCCCTCCCAAGCATCTTGGTTTGGATGGGGAATTACAGTCGCCCCAACTGACCTTAGCAGGGCCCTGGTCTGAGGCAGAGGATCTGGCCCACCTCACAGGGGACGCCCGTCCAGAATCTTCATGGCCTCCAGGGTGCTGCTCATCCCACCACCTATGCTCTGAAGACTAACGGCCACTTCGGCAGCAAGCTGTCCTTCCCGTGGACTGTGGGGTCTCCTCAGACAGCTTTGTTGGAGGAAGCACGGGCCTTTACTGGGACCTCGGTGAAGGGCAGCTGAGAGAGAGGAGTCGGTTTTAGGGATGGTGAGAGGTTCCCAATGGAGCCGGTCCCTGAATGCCACCTGCAGAGGGCGGAGAGGCCCTCCTGGAGAGTCAGGCCACAGCTCCGCCCAGGGAGGGCTACGGAGCACGCGGAGCTTCGGCGCGGGAACGCACACGTGGGCACGGGCACCCGGCAGCCCGGCAGGACCCCGTCCTCCTGACCTCAGCAGGATGGCTTCTGTCAGCACCTTCAGGTCTCAGGGAGGGCCGGGCCTGTCCAGTGAGTTCCCTCCTGAGCTGTCCAGCTAAGTGCAGAGCGAGATCCAGGAGGCTGCCCGGACAGTGGGCGTGACAGAGCAGGTCACGCATAACCCTGTGGCAGCCAGAGTCAGGCCTCCCTCTCCCTGCCTTGCCCTGCCACTGGGCCTGCCCTGTGGGGAATCCCTAAATGGGCATTAACGCAGCGGCCAGAAACAGCCACTGGGGCAGCCAGGTCAGTGCTCGGCCCCGGGCGTGGCTGGCTGTGAAGTCTCCCACACTCCTACAGCCGTCCGTAGGTCAGTCTACACACCTTCACGCAGTGATGCAGGGACAGCGTCACAGAGATGACAAACACGAGGTGACACGCACTACGTCCAGGACACGCCCGGATCCTCATGCCTGACAGACACAGGACAGCCTCTAGAAGGGGCAAGGAGCGCCTCGTGGCCTCCCCTACCACCTGGCTCTGGGAGGCAGGTCAGCATGCCCACGTGGCCACCACGCTGCCACACTCTCGCCGTGACTGTCACGTTTAGTTCTGAGGAGGACTGGGGCGAGTGTTTATTGTTCCAATTTTGGTGACTAAGACAGAAAATTCTAAACCTTCCAAAGCTGAAATTTGTTTTGAACACAAGGAGGAGAATCACCTTTCTGGATAATTGACACAAATTACCGTAATGGGCTGAGCCCTGAACGGCCTGTGAGAAGGGAGGAAACTGCTAATTACAAAGTTCCTCCTGCAAGAAACCCCAGGCCCCGGCAGAGGTGCTGGGAGCCCTGCCGATACATACACACACGTGTACATCGACGAAAAGGTCCGCATGCTCTTAGGACGCAGGGGAGGAAGTGTCCAACTCCTCCTGCAAGGCCAAGTTCAACCCAGTAGAAAGGACTCAGTGTCCTCAGCAAAGGGTAGCAGATGCCAGGATCTTCCATGAAATACGAGAAAAAGTAATCGCCAAATACCGGTAAACCAAACCCAGGAGTGTGTGCACTGGACGGCATGCCACGGCGCTGGGCCGTCCCCCGGGGAGCGAGGCTGTTTTACGGTACGAAAGCAACGGCTGGCACAACGCATTGAGATGGGGCAGTAACCACACCGTACTGTATCAGTCGGTGCAGAAAAGTATCTGACAAGACCAAATACCAGCTTAGGGCTCCTAAACTGCCCCAAACCCAGGAAGAAAACAGATGCATGTCCAGGTGAAACAGAACCTATGGAGGCGTTTAGGAGCGACCACCATACTTAGTGGAGACCGGCTGCAGCCTCCCTGAGGCTGGGGGTACGGCGACGTCCCGGTGTCAGGCCGCTGTCTGGGGCTGCGTGAATATGTAGCTGATACAGGGCGCGAGAACTGTATCAAGCATGCCAATGGGAAAGAGGAACTGTTTTTTATTGGTTAGGCAACCTGATTTTTAAAATCTACCCAAAAATGAGTAGAAGTAATAAGATAACTTAGCAAGTTTGTAGGCTACAATATCAACAAATTCAACTATGTTTTATACATGGTATTATTAATAATAAAAAACGGAAAACTATATGGTATTTAAAAAAACTATTCTATTCAAAATAGCCTAAAAAATCATGAATTTGGGACCAGCAGTTATTGTAATGGCTATGTTGCTGGACTCCCATGTAGTCAACCGCAGTTCAGGTCCCAGACCCAGTGGCTTAAACTCATGCCAGGCACGTGTGCATAAGTGTCCAAGATCCCGAGAGGACAATGGAGGAGAAGGGATTGCGGTGCGGCCATACCCCCCTGGGGGGTGATTTCTCATTTTCTGTCTCTTTATTTCTCTGTCTTCCTGGCAAGTGCACATGCCCTATAGCAAAAACCTCTCAAAAAAAAAAATCATGAATTTAACAAAACTGGTCCCAAATCTGTACACTGAAAGCTACAAACTGTTGTTGAAATTAATACAATATAAATAAATGGAAAGATATGCAACTTTTGTTGATTGAAACACTAATTATTGTCAAGAAAACAGCTTTAGGACCAGCAGTTAGCGTAATGGCTATGTCGCTGGACTCCCATGTAGTCAACTGCGGTTCACATCCCAGACCCGGTGGCTTAAAACTCACGCCGGGTGTGCGTGCGTGCCCAAGATCCCGAGAGGAGAACGGAGGAGAAGGGATTGCGGCGTGGCCATCCCCCCTGGGGGGTGATTTCTCGCTTTCTGTCTCTCTGTCTCTCTCTGTCTGGCGAGTGCACGCGTCCTATAGCAAAAACCTCAAAAAAAAAAAAAAAAAAAAAAAGAAAAGAAAAAGAAAAGAAAGCAGCTTTTTCCCAAACGTCTCTAAATATCACAGTCACTACTGAATATCGTATAGGCTTTTTTTTTTTCTTTTCGGTAAGGAAACCAAGAAGCTGACCCTAAAATGTATATGGGAATTTAGTGGACCTAAAGTAGCCAGAATGACTTTTGTTTTGACTGGAGGGTGAGTGTGTTTGCCAGAAACAGAGAGAAAGGGTCTTCTCAGTGGGGTGTGTTGGGGTGTGCTGACCACTCTCAAAGGTTCTGCTGTGAACCCTTCCTCCAGTTTCTCCTCCCATCAGGGTTTGGGGTGTGCACACACACTGGGCAGAGTTTCCAAGCTGCCAAGGCTGGGATTCGAACTGCAGTCAGCCATGTGGGATCTGGTTCCCAAGGCACAGGGCCTACCCGTTGTGTTGTGGTGCCAAACAAAGTGATTTTGCATTTGTTTGTTTATTTTGGAGAAGTTTTTACTACAGGGCGCGTACACTCGCCAGAAAGACGGAGAGAGACAGAAAGTGAGAAATCACCCCCTAGGGGGATGGCCACACAGCAATCCTTTCTTTTTCATTCTCTTCTCTGGATCCTGGGCACGCATGTACACGCGCCTGGCATGAGTTTAAGCCACCGGGTTCAGGACTCAAACTGTGGTCGACTACATGGGAGTCCAGTGACGTAGTCATTACGTTAACTGCAGGTCCCTCCAGATAATTTTGAAACAGAGCACCTACTTTTGAAATTTCCTATAAAGCTTCAGTAATGAGCACAAAGTAGTACTAGCATAGGAGAGGCAGAGATCGATGGGACAGAATAGAAATTCCAGAAATAAATCTTTAAATTCCCGGTCAATTAATTTTTTTAAGAAGGTGCCAAGTCAACCCAGTGGGGAGACGAGCCTTTGTAGCGAGAAGATGATGGTGTGGCAGACACGCGATCCACCCCGACTCACGCGTCTATGTACCACCTCAAACCCGTCACTTCCTAAGGGCAAGGCACAACTTCAACACTTTTAGAAAAATCAGAGAATATCTTTGTGATCTTGGGTAGGCAAAGTTTTTTCTTTTTTTTTTTTTTGACATATACAAAAATACTATTAAAGAAAGAAAATGATAAATTAGACTTCATCAAAAACTAAAAATTTGATCTTCAAAGATCATCATGAATAAGATGAAATATAAGCCAGAGTGGAATAAAATATTTGAGAATCATATGCTTGTATCAAAATATTCAAAGAATTTTCAGGGACCAGCATATGGTGTAACGGTTACATCACTGAGCTCCCACAGGATCAACTGTGGCTCAAGTCCTGGACCCACAGACTTAAAAATCTCACACTGGGCCTAAGTGTGGGTGTGCCCAAGATCCCAAGAGGAAAATGGAGGAGAAGGGACTGTGGTGTGGCCATCCCCCCTCGGGGGTGGTTTCTTGCTTTCTGTCTCTGTCTCTCTGGCAAACACACACACCCTACAGCAAAAATATCTCAAGAAAAAACAAAAAGAATTTTTGGAACTCAATGATAACCATACAATAATAACCCACCTAGGAGCAGGTGGGGCCCACATGGGAGAGGTTCTGGACTCCTGCGCAACCCTCCCGCAGGTGTGTGCCTGCCATCTGATGGAGCGACCGTCAGGAAATAAACTGTAGGAAAAAAACACAAATTTTAAGTGGAGACAATGTTTCAGCCAACTCTTCGGCAAAGAGCACGGATGACAGGCACACAGAGGCCCGCAAGTGAGAACCCCGCGACACCTCACGTGCAGTGGACCTGCTCTCCTGGCGGAAGACGACAGAACCGAGTGTGGGTGAAGGTGCAGAGGAACCGGGAGGCTGTGTGTCGCCAGCAGGATGTCTCAGAGAGCCGCCTCGGCAAGAGCGTCTTTGGATGCCACGCACCTGCTCGTCACATGACCCACAGTCCCTCCCCATCCTGGGCAAAGGTGTCAAGTGTGTTTCTTTGCGAGGGCCGCCCTCCGACTCAACTCGGCATGAGGGATTTGGATTCATTTTCTCACAGTTGCAGGGGCCAAAGTCCAGGAGCAAGGCGTGGGTGGGGCTGCCCCCGCCCCCTAGGCCGGTTCCTCAGACTGCAGATGCCACCTCCTTCCGGAGTCCTCACATGCTGTTCTCCCTGCAGGTCTGTAGCCCAGCACCCCCTCATGGGAGACCAGCGCTCTCCGGGTGGGGCTCGAGCTAACCGCGTTTAGCTGTGACTGTGTCTCCAAAGACATGCCACGTGTAGTCTTGACCTGAGGCCCTGCGGGTCGGGGCTCCACCACACACTGCAGGGCAGGGCCCCGCCTGTGGAAGGCTTGGGGAGAAGGGCCCAACCCAGTACCACAGCGCCCCTGTGGCAGCATCACTCAAACAGACTCAAAAAGGACTTGAGTTTTTATTTTATTTTATTTATTTATTTTAGAGGTTTTTGCTATAGGGTGCATGTGCTTGCCAGACAGAGAGACAGAAAGCGAGAAATCGCCCCCCGGGGGGATGGCCACGCCGCAATCCCTTCCCCTCCATTCTCCTCTTGGGATCTTGGGCTTGAATGGACACACGCCCGGCATGAGTTTAAGCCACCGGGTCCAGGACGCGAACCGCGGTCGACTACGTGGGAGTCCAGCGACATAGCTATTATGCTAACTGCTGGTCCCAAAAGGACTTGAGTTTTAAGAATAAGCTTCGATGACCTTCTCTATGTGCATTTTATCAAATACACTTTGCCCCCACAGGAAGAAGGTGATGGACTGAGTCCGTTTGCAGTTGAGTAAGTGTGTAAGCCCTAGGGATTGTTTCCTCTCTTTAAAATAGCGGTATGCTCATGTAACTCAGATCACTTAGGGCGATACTTCATCTTGGTACCTTCAAATGAAGAAATGACAGAATGGAATATAATGTTGTTTTACTGACATTAATACTTAGACTTGTTGGAGTAGATTTTACCCTATGCACACCGGTAATCACAAGGTACGGTTCAGGTAGGCTTTTTGACATGGCAGTCTGAGCTGAGGCCTGGAGGGAGTGAGGGGCCACCACTATCCCATCCCAAGGGAGCTCAGCCCTGGGGGCAGCTTACAAAGCAGCTTCACAGCCCCTACACCTTGCCAAGGTGCAGGCACCTTAGGGCAGTGCTGGGCCCAGAAACCAGATCCAGGCAATGTTGAAGCTGAACTTCGAGTGCCCAGAAAGTACGTTGGCCTTGAGTGGACAAGCACACTTGTGGATCTGCGTTTGACAAAGACAGTGCTGTGAGGCTGGCCTATGATGGCGGGGCAGAGGCAGAGGACAAGAGGACTGCAGTTGTCCGGAGAGAGGCGGAGAGAGTCCTGGGTCTCACGCCTCCTTAGTGTGAATCTCAGAGCATACAAAGCCCCTCTGCCTGAAAACAGTAACCGCCACAGCTCCTCCCTACCCTGTGTGCCCTGTTGTTGTTCCTTGGCTCTCCTCCTCACCCCGGAGCCACAGCCCACCCCCAGCCTTCTCCTTACACTGCTCTCCACTGTGACCTGGCCACTCCTCGCAGACACCCCGTCTCAGCTCCCTCCAGGGATTCCGGCTGTGCAGTAAACACAGGCACTCTGACCAGGGTCCAGGGCTGCTGGCCCCCAGGTCCCCAGATGAGGGCGCCACCATATGCTCACAGGACATTCCATAGCCTGGAGTGCCTGTTACGAGCTCCCTCTCTACAGTGAGGACCTTCCTCACCAACATGCGTGTCACCCCTTCCTCCTGTCCTTCCTAGGAGAGCAAATCGCCAGAAGGCCCTGAGGACATCTGAGTGTCCACCTCTGTTCCCCACCGCGGCTATACACCCAGAGGGGAGTATGTCACTGAAGGTAAGCCGGAGTGGCTAGGACTGACCTCCAGTACTGCATTAGGGCCTAGTGTGGGTACAACCCCTCATGGAGGTGAGGTGGTGTTCACAACAACTGGTTGGGCTGATACCGCAGCTGCTCCCACACTGGAACCACGTGGGCAAAGAAAAGAAAAAAGTGAGGAGAAAGACAGAAAATACTCTCAGCTGTGGGGGGTACGCGTGTATAAGAGACAGGTGTTACTGAAACTAAAGAACCATACGAATGAATTGGTGAAGTCTGTGAAGTGTCACAGGTGCCAAAACAAACAGGAAAACATGGGGTGAATGTCAGCAATGACAGAACCTACGCGCTGGGTTTAGAGGGGTTCTTGAGAAATCCTTTCAAGTTGTCTGCATGTTTGAAATTTTTTAAACAAAATGTTGAGGAATATTTACATGTAAGAACTGGTGGGAAATAATGGCGTTTTTGAGGCAAGGTCCTGGGGAGTAGCAGTCAGGACTGTGGAGAAGGGTACCATCCCAGCCCATAGCCCTCTCCAGGACCAGAGTGCCCCTGAGGAAGTGACACTCAGAGTCACTAACAAAGACTTGAGTTTTATTTAAGAAAAGCTCACTGTGAACAACTTTCTCTTTATTCATCTTATGGGTTATCATTTTCCTCTCACAGGAAGGAGATGATGAGCTGAGTCCATCTGCAGTTGGGTAAGTTCGTAAATTTTAGGGGGCTGTTTTATCTCTGTAAAATAACTGTTTGTTCATTATCACTCAAACCACCTAAGGAGGTATTTCATTTGTTTAGTATCTTCAAATCAAACATAGAATATATGATTGTTTCCAAAGATTGACACCCTAGCTATCCATTTAGCTTATCATGCTTCTTTTTTACATAGTTCTTATCCATGTACTTCACAACTAACACTTGAACTAATGCACAAAAATAGCACCACACTCATTCATGTCTTTCTCTGGACACCTGCAATATTGGGAGTTTCAATGCCCTAATGATATTTAGAGTAGTGTTCAGGGCAGAATTGGGTCTTGTGCTTTCAGCCTATTACTGAATCAAGTAGATGCAAAGGAAATACATTCACTGATGAAAAAACTGCTACAAACACACAGAAACCTAGCCCTGTGATCGATGACCTCTTCATGAAAGTGGACCTTACTAAGGTCACAGATTAGTCGTAAGCACACATTTTCAAGAAACTATTCTGTTCGCATGACGGAACCAAAAATGTGAACAGCCCTTAAAAGTACATACTCTTCTCACCAAATTCTAGAAAGGAGAACTCCTCATAGAAGAGAGAATAATTTCTCACAAAAGAGGGTAACTCCTCACAAAAAAGAGAGCAATTTCTCGCAGAACAGAGAAGAACTCATCACAGAACAGAAAAGCTCCTCACAGAACAGAGACTAACTACTCACAGAACAGAGTAACTTCTCACAGAGTAACTACTCACAGAACAAATACTTCACAGAGAGTAACTTCTTATACAACGGAAAAACTCACAAACAGAATAACTCCTCACAAAAGAGTAACTCCTTACAGAGAGTAACTTCTCACAAAACAGAGAAACTCTTCATAAAACAAATAGTAACTCATCACAGGACAGAGTAAATCCTCAAAGAAGACAGAATAACTTCTCACATAGCACAGTAACTCCTAACAGACCAGAGAGTAACTCCACACAGAATAGAGTCACTCCTCACAGAACAGAGTAACTTCACACAGAACATACAGTAACTACTCACAGGGCAGAGTAACTCATTACAGAACAAAGTAACTCATTACTCACAACAGAGAGTAACTTCTTACAGAACAGAGTAACTCCTCACAAAGAGTAACTTCTTACAGAACAGAGAGTAACTCCTCACAAAGAGTAGCTTCTCACAGAACAGAGAGTAACTTCTCCTAGAACAGAGTAACTCCACACAGAATAGAACAGAGTAACTCTGTCCAGAATAGAAAGTAATGCCTCACAAAGCAGAGTAACTACTAACAGATCACAGAGTAGTTCCTCACAGAACAGAGTAACTCCTTACAGAGAGTAACTCCTTGTAAAACAGAGTAATTCTAACAGAAGAGAGAACAACTCTTCACAGAACAGAGAGTAATTCCTAACAGAACAGAGTAAGTACTCACAGGACAGAGAATTACTTCCCACAGAAGAGAGTAATTCCTCATGAAACAGAGTAACTTCTCACAGAACAGAGTAACTCCTTACATAGCAGAGAGTAACTTTTCACAGAGCCAAGAGAAACTACCCACAGAGCAGAGTAACTCATCACAGAACAGAGAGTAACCCCTCACAAAATATAGAGTAACTTCTCACAGAACAGAGTAACTCCTCACAGCACAGAGAGTAACTCCTCACAGAGCATATAGTAACTACTCACAACACAGAGTAACTCCTCACAGAACTGAGAGTAACTTCTCACAGAACAGAGTAACTCCTCACAGAGCACAATAAAGCCTCACAGAATAGTTACTTTTCACAGAACTGAATAATTTCTGACAGAAGAGAGTAACTCCTCATAGAATGGAGTATAACTTTTTTTTCCTATAATGCGTGTGTGCTCTCCAGACAGAAAGCGAGAAATCACCCCCCAAAGGGGGATGTCCACGGCACAATCCCTTCTCCTCCATTCTCTTCTTGGGATCTTGGACATGCATGCACACGCACCTGGTGTGAGTTTAAACCATCAGATCCAGGACTCAAACCAAGGTCGACTACATGGAGTTCAGCAACATAGCCATTATGCCAACTGCTGGTCCCAGAATGGAGTGTAATTTCTCACATAACAGAGTGACTTCTCACATAGTAACTTCTAAAAGAACAGAGAATAACTCCTCACAGAGAGTAACTTCTCAAAGAACAAAGTAACTTCACATATAGTCTAGAGTAACTACTCACAGAGCAGAGTAACTCCTCACAGAACAGAGTTCCTTCTTACAGAACAGAGAGTGACTTCTCACAGAACAGAGCTATTCCTCACAGAGCAGAGTAACTTCTCACAGAGCGAAGAGTAACTACTAACAGAGCTAAGAGTTACTACTCACAGAGCAGAGTAACTACTCACAGAACAGAGAGTAACCCCTCACAGAACAGAGAGTAACTACTCAGAAAACAGAGTAACTCCTCACAGAACAGACTGTAACTTCTTACAGTGCAGAATAACTCCTCTCAGAGTAACTCCTCACAGAATACAATAAAGCCTCACAGAACAGTTACTTCTCACAGAATAGAATAATTTCTCACAGAAGAGAGTAACTCCTGACAGAATGGAGTGTAACTTCTCACAAAACAGTGACTTCTCACACAGTAACTCCTAAAAGAACAAAGAATAACTCCTCACAGAAAGGAACTTCTCACAGAACGAAGTAACTTCACATAGTTGAGAGTAACTACTCAACAGAGCAGAGTAACTGCTGAGATAACAGTTACTCCTCACAGAGAATAACTCCTCACAGAGTAGAGAGTAACTTCTCATAGAGCTGAGAGTAACTACTCATAGAACAGATAGTGACTATGCATATAACAGAGTAACTCCTCACAGAACTGAGAGTAACTTCTCATAGAACAGAGTAACTCTTCACAGAACAGACTATAACTACTCACATAGCATAGTAACTCCTCACAAAACAGAGAGTAACCCCTTGTAGAACAGAGAGTAATTTCTCACAGAACAAAGTAACTCCTCACAGAACAGAGTAACTTCTCACAGAGCAGAGAGTAACTACTCACAGAGCAGAGTAACTCCTCACAGAACAAGGAGTAACTTATCATAGAACAGAATACCTTCTAACAGAATAGAGAGTAACTCCTCAAAGAAGAGTAACTCCTAACAGAACAGAGAGTAACTCCTATAGAACAGGAAGTAACTTTTCACACAACAGAGTAACTCTTCACAGAAGAGAGTAACTCCTCAACAGAGAGTAGCTCCTACAGAACAGAAAATAACTCATCACAGAACAGAGTAACTCCTCATGGAAGACAGAGTTACTTCTCACAGAGCAGAGTAACTCCTAACAGGAGAGTAACTTTGCGCAGAACAGAGTAAATCCTTCCAGAAGAGAATAACTCCTAACAGAAGAGAGAGTAACTTCTCACAGAGACAAGAGTAACTACTCACAGAGCAGAGTAACTCCCCACAGAACAGAGTAACCCCTCACAGAAAAGAGAGTAACTTCTCACAGAACAGAGACTCCTCACCAAAGAGAGTAATTTCTCACAGAATAGAGAGTAACTACTCACAGACCAGAATAACTCCTCACAGAACAAAGAGTTACTTCTTACAGAATAGAGTAACTCTTCACAAAACTGAGATTAACTCCTTACAGAACAGAGTAACTTCTCACAGAACAAAGAGTAACCTCTCACAGAGCCAACAGTAACTACTCACAAAGCAGAGTAATTCCTCAGTACAGAGAGTAACTACTCACAGAGAGTAACTTCACACAGAACAGAGACTCCTCACCAGAGTAATTTCTCACAGAACAGAGAGTAATTCCTCACAGAACAGAATAACTCTTCACAGAACAGAGAATTACTTATTAAAGAACAGAGTAACTCTTAACAAAACTGAGAGTAACACCTCACAAAACAGAGAGTAATTGACATGCACTCACAGCATTGTGGAGATGTAAATGGTTCACCCTTGTTCTCCTTGTAAGTTCTTCAGCACCCAAGTGTACTCAGTGATCTCACACTTTTTTTTTTTCAGTCTGAAAATAGTCACTCTGTTTATTTACTGACCAGATTTCAAAAATAATCATGGTGGGGGACCAGCAGATGGCATGATGACTATGTTGCTGGACTCCCATGTAGTCTATTGCAGTTTGAGTCCTAGACTTGGTGGTGTCAGGCACGTGTGCATGCATCCCATGATCCCGAGAGGAGAATGGAGGAGAAAGGATTGCAGCGTGGCCATCCTCCCTGGGGCATGATTTCTTGCTGTCTCTCTGTTTCTCTCTTTCTATTTTTTAATTTTAAAAAAATCATGGTAGATACCTTAGTTCATCCTTCTTTTCTTTTTCTTTCTTTCTTTCTTTCTTTTTTTTTTTTTTTTTGGAGGGGCTTTTGCTGTAGGGTGCATGTGCTCGCCAGAAAGACAGAGACAGAGAGAGAGAGACAAAAAGAAAGAAACCACCCCGGCCACACCGCAATCCCTTCTCCTCCATTCTCCTCTTGGGATCTTGGACATGCACGCACACACACCTGGTGTGAGTTTAAGCCACCGGGTCTGGGACTTGAACCACAGTCAACTACATGGGAGTCCAGCAACATAGCCATTACACCAACTGCTGATCCTTATCCTTCTAATAAATCTGTTGATCTGGTCTTCCCTGTTGCCAGCATCTCCACTTTTTACAAAATGGGTGATCTTTTTCTTCATTCCACCTTGTGGAGATGATGATTTGAAGGACCACAGGAAGTTATTTGCTTCTTTGAAATGTTTTCCAACAGTATAGATTTCTCTAATCAGATCCTCCATTCAGATGATTCCAAATTTTCCAAGAGATCGAGCAATCAGAGTTATCTGTCAAAGCAACTTGCTTCTTATTGATTTGGCCATAACCACACTTGTGGATCAGTGTGGTTTTCATGTACTGACTTCAGGTACCCCCATGCAGTATATGGTCCCACAATTCTCAGCATGTTAATTAAGGCCTTGTTGAGCTTAACAAAGGTGCCATTGAAGATCTAGTGAAAACGAAGAAGCTGCAACACCTTTAGAAATTTGGGCTCACTCCATTGATACCTCTGAACCTGATGACAAATGCCAATTTGGGTTCTGCAAGTACATAGAAGTTCCAGCTTTTTTTTGCCATTGGCCATGCGAATCTCAGTTCTGTACATCTGTCTGTATTCCTTATGATAGTGCTTAGCTTTTTCATAGATAAGCTTCCTCCTTGCCTTTCTTTCTTTTTTTTTTTGCATTTTTTAAAATTTATATTATCATCATAATCTTTATATTACATTGGATTACATATAACTTTACATTGACTTCCATTGCTTTTTCAAAAGGGAATGCCATGCATGTCGGTCAATACAGAGACATCAATCTCCC